GGAGTTAGGTCATTTGGATTTTCCTGGGGATAGCCATTTTTTAAATGATTCTTATAATTTTAACTTAAGATCACACTTTTACATGTAGGACAAATGACCCGACAAGTTTCAGTTGTATATGTTGCCCTAACAACTGGTTTTACTTTGCTGTTACTAGACATTGTCAGATTTCTTAAAGGGCATCTTGCACTTCTTTAGAAAAGAAAAATTGTCAAATTTGTGCTGGAAGCATATCTGCCATACCTCACTGCATGATGAGAGGTGATATTTTTGGGGTCTAGGGTGACTGATATTGCCTTCTTCAGGTAGGAGGAATTTACAGCCTTTGGTAGGAAGCTATAATGGAAGAGCTGAACAGCCCAACTCATTTAAAGCCAAATTTATCATAAAAAACTATCATAAAAATTTGGTTTTATATAGAAAATGAACCATAGGCAGAAAACTGTTTTGAATTTTACATAACTACCACACATAAAAGTATCCTCATCAATTTCAATTTTTAGGTCTAGATTGAAATCTTATTTGCTTTCATCATATGACAGTTGATTTGCAAATTTGTACCACCATCTATTTTAAAAAAAATTTGAAATTCATCTCTCATAAAAGGGAGAGAGATTCTGTCAATTAGTTTTAGTTCACTAGAGATCTCCTATTTAATCAATATATCAATTCAATTATATTTATGTCACATTTTTTCTTATTGTTTTGTAACATCATATTAATCTTTTTTAATTTTTGAGTATATTGTAATTAATAGATTTAGGAATGAAACTGAACTGAACTGAATAAACATTTTAATGCAACAATGAAAGCCTAAACTTCAGAGTATGGCGTGCAAACTTCCAATTTTTCGGCATTCTTTATTGCAAATTTGTCTTAGGGCTCATCATAACGAAAGTTCTTGATAGTGAAATTCATTTTAAAGCCAAAACTGATGTTCATACTAGATTATTTCTTCTATAGTTGGCTCACACTGAGCCTAACTGCTGGATGCAAGGGCTAAAATTTTCTGACAATTAGGTTCCGATGTTACGATACTTTTTGCAGCTGTACATCTGGTTCTCACCACATCTATCTTTGCATGCTCTTAAAATACAGCACAGATAAAAATGTTAGCCATACATACTGATCAAAGTACACAAAATAAGTTACTTTTCTACATAATTTGGACCACAAGGCACCATTTCATCCTTCAAGGCTATCCTTGCATACCACCCTTGAGAAAAGTAGAAACTTAAAACCATTCTTTATGTTTCAGAAGATCATCAGTTCCCTTCTTAAACTCTTGTAAAGTGTTAGCCACCATTAGTCTTGATAAACCAATAAACCAATCACCCTTTAGAAAAACAAAACTCTCTTAAAAGGAGTTTAGCTTGTCTTTTCCAAATCTGAAAATTGTGTTCTCTCATCCCATTGTCTGTGGAATATAGCACAAACAAATCAAAGGCTTTTATCCTATCAATTCCCAGAATAATCTTGTAAACTAGGACTAGACAATGGTGAGAACCAGGATAAACTAAATGCAAAAATAAGATGTAGAGAAAAGTTTAGCATAGTAACTAAGAATAGAAGTAGATCTAAGGATAGGCTTAATTGTTACTATTGTAAGGCTAAAAATATAAGAAACAAAACAGATGACTTTAGGGTGCTGGTAGGAATAGAGGATTTTGATATAATGGGATTAACAGATTAAATACATTAAGGGTAAACAAATGTTAGGATGGGAGTAGAACCTTTGAGGGATGATAAAGGAAGACTCATATCTGATGATTATGAGATGGCTGGGTTATTATATTCTGCTTTTTCTTCAATGTTTGCTAATGAAGATTTAAGCAACATTCTTCATCTTGAACATTTGAAGATAGAAAGAAGACTGAACAAGTTGATAACATTAATTCTAAGCTTGTTAAGAAAGAATTGGGAAGTTTAAAGAATGATAAGGCTCATGGGCCAGATAATATTTCCCCAAGGGTTTTGAAGGAGGTTAAGGATTGGATATGTGAGCCACTTGCTACTATTTGTTGTAAGTCCTTGAATAGTGGACAGGTACCAGAGGATTGGAAGTTAGTTTATGTTACTCCTCTTTTCAAGGGAGTTGATAAACATTGTTCTGGTAATTATAGACCCATTAGTCTCACATTAGTTGTGAGAAAAGTTTTTTAAAGTCTAATAAAAGATGCTTTGCAAAGTCATTTAACAAAGTTTAGAATTTTATTGGATAGCCAACATGGTTTCACTAAGGGACAATCTTGCCTTATGAATATTTTGGCATTCTTTGAAAAGGTTACTGCTTATGTAAATGAGGGTAAAGGTGTAGATTTGGTGTATCCAGATTTTCAGAAAGCAATTGACAAGGTGTGACATTAAAGGCTTGTAACATAAAATATCTCTATAGGTGTGGGGGATAAGTTAGGTACATAGGCACCCACAGGAAGAGGCAAGAGGGAGAATTTGCCCCCCTTAAATTTCACAAAAAATTGCATGTATTATGATGTAAACTTAACATTGTAATTAAACTAAATATTTTTAATAATTTTCATTAAAACTGTAAATTTGTGTTTGCATTTATCACACATAACACATTATTTTAGTCTGTTGACTAACACTGTAAATGTTGATCCCCTACATACATGTTTTGCTCTCCTTGAAAATATTTCTTTGGATGCCTATGGTTATCTTACTGGATAAAAGAGTGGCTGGATGGAAGAAAGCACAGAGTTGTTATAAATGGAGTTCAATCAAAGTGGATTAATGTCACAAGTGTGGTACCTTACAGTTCAGTCTTAAGACATTTGTTCATTTTGATTTACACCAATGACATAAATGAAGGAATGGTCAATAAATTACTTAAATTTTCTGATGATATTAAGGTCTTGGGCATTACTGGCTGTGAGAATGATGCTGATGCTGTGTTACTAAATCATTAATAATATCACTTACTGAGTTGGGAGAACAAATGGCAGATGGGTTTTAATTATAATAAATGCAAGATAATGCATTTGGGTTATCATAATTTGAATTATAAGTATAATTAGGATGGGAATTGGGCTCTTAAAAGATACTGATGGCTAGGTTTTTGCCAAAGACTATGAGATTAGTGAGCTTTTTAAATGTTATCTTCTGTTCTTACAAGAGAAGATATTAGCAATATTTTTAATTCTGAGCATGTAGAGGAAAGCTTACCAGGAAGATTCTAGGCATGAAAGGGTTATCTTACAAGAACAGGTTAAGATCTTAACTTATTTTCTCTTGAGAAAAGATAGGTAGAAGAAGACAGTATTCAAGTTTACAAAATTATTTAAGAAAGATCTATATAATAAACATCACTAATTCCTTAGTGCTATAATCTGAAGTCAAAAGGACAAGAGGAGAGAAATTTAACATTTACAAGCAACTATCCAGTTAAGAGAGTTTTATTTTTCTAACACAGTGATTAGCTTATGGAACCTATTGTCATTGTCAACAGTGGATGAAAATGCTTAAAACTAAATCAACAATTTCTTAAGAAATAAAGGGTGAATGTGCAAGTCTGCCATGCAAGTACAATAAGGAATGAGGAAATAAACATTCTCTTTACATATGTGTAATAGATAATCAAAATATTCAGGATGTCAGAAAAACACATAGGTTAAAGAAGTCTTGATACTAGATGATAAAAACCCTATAACCCGAGCACTTTTGAAAGGTGGACCTTTCTTCTTCAGGGGCAAACTTGGAATCTGCCCCTGAAAAAGAAAGGTCCACCTTTCAAAAGCGCTCAGGTTATAAGGTTTTTATTATCTAGATAATCAAAATATTTATTTTATTATACAAACAATCTTAGGAATCCGAGGTTCTGAAACCTGTTATGAGTGGCGTTATATGAATGCTAATAATATGTGTTGTAAAGCAGCTACAAAAAATAATTAAACTATCTGTCCACTAGAACCATTCTGGCAATAATCTGTAAAATGTAACTAAACTCAAAGATGCTGTAGATCCAACAGCAAGATGTGTTTGTAATTTCATTCATTTAGAATTATAAAGAATGACTGATAAGCTCTAAATAAGTCCCAAGATATTAAATCTACTGGATACCAGATCCAACCAATCTAATTCCTTCACTATATAGATGTAGTATGTAGCTAGTACTTTATAGAATTTCTCTTGCAATGATGATTCACACTGCTCTGCACACATGTATATCATCCAATTCTAACTTAGCTGTACTGACATCATTGTCTAGTGAGTTGAATGGCATTCTGTATGTTGCATGATACTTTTCTGTGTGTCTCATGAGAGTTTGAAACCAGACCAAAATACAGTTCTAATATGATGTGTGGTTTGTTTGATAATCTACTTATACCACAGGTGGGAATGCCATTCATTCTCACATAACATTAACAGTAGCTGTGAAACAATAAATTTCAAAACATTTGTTAGACAATAGGCAATTATTCATGGTATGAATTAGGTATCCCACAGTTTAATTGTTAGACTACTTATAGACATACCCTCCCAACTTTTATTTCATGAAACTGTAAGGGTAATGTACACTTTGTGGTACAACAGTATAAGATGTCCCAAAATTTTAATTATTTTACAGTCTTCTAACAGAATTTTTTCTTCCAGCTGCAATTAGTAAAATTTACACCTTTTAGAAAAATCTACTGCTAGCATTTGTATTAATATATTTTGCATTGAATTAGTATACTCTCACGTAAGATACTGACCCCGAGTCATAAAATTTACACTAACTATTACTAGTATTAAAATTACTATTTAGTATCACTATCATTATATTATTACTTATATGAATATTGGCATAAAACATAAGCCCAGTGTACTTCGCAGGATGCATTTACTTTTAGTTTTAATTTACATCACCCATGTGCGTTGCAAATCATGTCAGTGACAGATGTACAACAAACGAAACTTTCATGATAGTTTCAGTGAAACTGAAAGGTTGGGCGTGACTTGTGATTCTGTCACATGTATAATATTACTAAAACCATACTCACCTTAAAATAACACAACTGTAAGTAATCATAAGGCATTTTGTTTTCAAAATTCTGTTCGGTTTCCTTTGCCACTGCCACTGATCGAACATAGAGAGAGTTAGATCGATGGTAACATTTCATTATACATAAAGCATTTTTTATAATTTCTTCATAAAAAGCCATAAACATTGTTCCTCTATCATGATAAACACCACTTCTCAAAACAAAATCCTTTTTTCGACAACTTTTTCTGCATTCTACTAATGCTGATCTATGTAAGGAATATTCTTTCAAACTCTTTTCTAAAAAATTAATGCACTCTTTCCACCTATTGTCCAAGTAAGCCTCCACTCCAGCTTCATAATAATCAGCGTACGTTAATTCCGTTTTAGGAGATCCTGAAACGCTGTAAACAGGAGAGGAAATGAAGATGAAGAACAATAAAACACATGACATAACCCAAAACGACATAATTACTTCAATGTTCCACTTGTTTAAATATTTAAGCCAAATAATTACACGCCTTGTACCAATACTAGTATTATTAGAAGTACTACTGTTAGCATTAACTTTGCTCATCCTTTCACACAGACCTGAGGTCGTAAAGCATCACTCATCTTTCGCATAATAACTGAAATGAACCACTAGATGGCAGAAACAATAATAATAATAATAAAAAAAAAAACATGAATACGTAACTAAGCTATTGACCTATATAGATATATACATAGTGAGAGACCAAGGAACTAGGCTTATAACATAAATCTTTAAATTAATTTTTCAAACAATTATTTTAAAGCCTCTTAGCCAATTGCTTTGTAAATTATATAAATAGATAGAGGATGATCAAATGATCTACGTCTTAATAGGTAAGATAACATTTTGAGCTAAACAAATAATAAAGCTGAGCTTATTTTTATTTTTCACATTTCTGTTGATTAACAGCACATTCTTTATATTCCAATGTAACCACACTTTAATTTGTTTTATGATGAACCCACTATTCAGAAGCAATATCAACCGAAATATAAACTCAATAAAGAATATGGAAGTAACAATGATTTATTATTAATATTCTCTTAAATTTAATCATGCACAATGTGCATACATCCTATGCATAGAATGTCTATATATATATTTAAAAGCACAAATAAGGGCTATCTGCCCTAACTTCCTGATTTTAAACTATAAAACTAAAAAGAAAGGTAGAAAATCAACAGTACCTGCCGCCAAATTTTGGGCTATTCTAACCTAAAACTGGAATTTGACCATCACTCTTATACACATCAACAGCCCTAGTGCAGAACATGTTTTTGTAGCAATGGGACACAAATCATGGACTCTTGAATATATTGTTACGTCTCTGGTCGTTAGTTAATTTTTCCGTAAAAGTTTTTTCCGATGAAACTTTAGCGACACAAGTCCTTTCT